TGAGTCTGGAACTTAATTGGACTGTGATATGATAGCTCTTCAACATCCCATGATGTTGTCAACCCGTAGGTTGCGATGAGAAGGGTCACTTAAGTAAGGTATAATTTGGAATCTGGTATCAACGGCAGTGCATTCTCTCAGTCATGGTGTCAATTAGTACATACCACAGAAATACCAACGAGAGGGAGTTGAAGTCATACTGCGTTACAAATAGTCGGTGCACGCGGATATTACTGATAACGAAAGGAGATCTTCATCACCTGGTCTTTGGACAATTCCAGAGAACAAACGAATTACGGGACCAGTAAACGCTACTTTTATTTCCAAACAAACCAGTGTCGTGCGAAGCAAATCCCTCAACTGGCAGCAAATTTCACAGTGCCCGTGGAGCACATCAAGTGATCTTGATCCGTTGGTCTGCACTCTGTAGCAAGTCAGCAGATCAGGTCTACCCGCGCGTGCCCCTGAACTGATCTGCGCCTAGCCTGGTCCTGAATTGACCTGACTTGACCTGATCTGACCGGCGCCCGTGTCTGCAGGAGCCTGGCCAGGCGTTCCGGCCGCTGCCCAGCTGGGGTCCGGGAGACAAGGAAGCGAGGCGCCGCCTGCTGGCTGTACAGCAGCAGCTGCTGAGGCGTGACCAGCTGCACGGCCGCGACAACCCCGCCCTGGAGATGGAACGGGTCTAAACCAGCTGCAAGACTCCGACATCCCCGCCCTGGATATGCTTCGGGTCCAAACCAGCTACACGACACCGACATCTCAGCCCTTGACATGAATCGGTTCCAATCATCTGCACTGCTTTCGACAACTTCGCCCAGGAGATAAACCGGGTCCAAACCGGCTGCACGGTCGCGACGGCTCCACCCGGGAGATGAGCCGGGGCGAGATGCAGATGGACTGCGCGAGCGCTTGAGATGGTATCCATGCCTGGAGACGGGTGGGGTGTGTGCAGCCCCAGTCGGCAGGTACGCGAGGTCGCAGACAATGTGTCGAGACGGCAAGTTCGCACATGGGTCAGAGTTCGAAAGGCTTCAGTGTGGGAAAGAGCAAGTAGAAATCGTATACGTCCTCTGAAGAGCGGTAATGTGGTTGGTATTTGCGCCAGTATATCGGTGGCGATGTCCGTTCAAGCACTCCTTGCTACCAGCCCCATGGCTCGCGAGCAATCTCCACAGCTGCAGAGACACGCATGGCGGTGGTGCCTTCTGAGGGGCTCCAGCGGTGCCACGAGGCCACTGTCGGCTGGATGGTCCAGCATTAGCGAGCTCAGACTTGATCAGGCGACGCCCTAACGTTCTAGCATTTATCCGTTGCGTGCACTTGACCGGCGTGAAGCGCTGGCGTGGAATCGAAGGTCCACCGGTGGCAGTGCAGTGCGCGTCAAGTCGCAGCGCCGCGGCTGGTGTCCTGGTGCTGTTTTTGTTCGGAGTGCGTATGTGCTACGAGCTACGTGCTACGAGCTATGTGCTACGGGCCATGAGCCAGGGGGACGCGAAGTTTTCATTTATTTGCTACAGCAATGCTCGCAGCCACGGGCGTGGCCACCATTGCGGCCTGTTGGTCGGAGTCGGAGTATTCTTCTGCGAGAGGAGGCTGGATCGCTTTCACACGTTGACCACAATAGCAGACAAAGCAGATTAGGCCCCGGTAACCTGCAGTACACGTTTGCGCCCTTGCTGGCAGTAATGGCGCTGAAAGTGACGTGGACATTGTGGATGTTTTAAAACAAGAAGCACCTGTGATCAACAACATGATTCCGTCCTATGGTTGTTGGGCGTTCAAGCTTCGCGCGAATGTCGCCGGTCTGCGGCCAACACAAGCGTAACGCCGGAAGATGATCTTCATAGACGCCGTAGCGCCGAAACACAATGCTCACGCCAGACGATGTGCGCTGTTGTATTCAGCTGAATTTACAAGTGTATGTTTTTGGGGTCTTGTCTGAGATCGGTACGCTATCACGTCCCATCTCGATGTTTAGAATAGGGTTTCCAATTGTTAGAAAGTGTTATATGGTTCAAAACAGTTCCAGACAATATTCATCCGATTCGGTCCCTCACACACAGGGCTGTGTTTTGAACGCCTCAGTGAGTAGACGGCGTGGACCAATGCAATATGCTGAGCATGTTCCGTAACAGCAGACGCGTTTGGTGCCAGGAAAGAGTAAGCGAGTAGGTAAGAACACTTGAATTTGATGCTAGGCTTATCTCGCGACGTTGTGTATGAATGAACTTCATCTAAGTGCTATGAGTAGAGAGGATTACAGAGCTGTGTACCAACTAATGATGCGAATATACATTTTATACGGCATGTCGCATAATTCCTAGTGGGACTGCAGGCCTGGAAAATGGCAAGTAAATTGGCCCCAAGACACCCATCCAACCAAGAGCACCATGGTCTATGATACCGTTTTACATGAAGCGTTGACGGTTTCGGTTCGCATCTGAATTTTGTGTGAGATTCTGAAAATGATTTAGGACGCATGGCGATAAAGCTGAAGCAGATAAAGCTATTCAAGGTACGTGCACGCCGAACGATTTATTGCCTTTACTCGTCCAATATTTGGCCGGTGTTGGCCATATATCATGCTTTATTTTTACGGAGAAGAATACCATACTTTTACATGGAGACTGATCACATTTACGTTTAAGGTGATGTGTGCAAACCCCACAGATCAAATCCGGAAGCAGTCAGTGAAGAAGCTTTGGGCACTTCGCTTCCACGAAAGATGAGATGAATGCCATCTAATCTTGCTGATACAGCTTAGGCTGTCAGGGAACATCAATAACGAAGTGTATGCAAATCACAGGCATCTCATGCCCAAACCCCCGAATGGTATGTTTGTGAGGCAACGCCAGACAATCATGGGGGAAAGGAATGTTCGGTAACGGGCCTTTATTTCGGGTTTTGTCCTCAAGCAACATAGATAACGCTTTATCTTATACCAGTGCCCGTGCCACGTGTATCGGCGGCAACGTTTTAAAGGCCCATATTGTCATTAACAGGTATGGGCATACGATAAACCCATACCCACACAAATTTGGATTACAGGGAATGGTTCACATTTAGAGACATTGAAGCAAGCATTAGGTATGGTGGAATAAGTTCACTTACAACCACTGTTATATTATTAAGTGAAAAAGAATGCTCTAGACAAAAGATTTGCGCTGTAAAGTGAATATATTCCTCAATGGGTCATTGTTCCATTACGTCATCGTTCCTTGCGCAGCATTGATTGTCAGCCATTTGACAGCCGTTATATCTGAAAATCGTTGTCACGAATGCCAGATATGAGTGGCTCGACATTTGTATTTTTCTTTGCCTTAGCCGCCATATGGATTCTGGAATGGCAGGATATGAATGATGTCATTATTGCGTCATGGATGTTTGGGTGAGCTGAAATAGTCTCCCCAGGAAAGCCTGCACATCTTCGCGAGGGTGTAGCTCAGGCACTTGGGAATTTTGGTCTTAAAAGGGTCATGGCTGTGAACCGCACGGCATGCCCTTCAAAATAGCTATTCTAGGTAAACATCCCATATGAATGTGCAACACTCTTTAAAAAGGCCACCTCATGTTTACCTGGAAATTTTCAACATTTAGTCAGAATTAGCTGACGAGAATAACAATAGCGAGAATAAGCGAATAGCAGAATGGGCAAGACAAATCATGTAGCGTAGTTTTGGACATAGACACTCGCAAATATTAGCAACAAAAACCTCGACGCCCGGCGTTGCGATCTCCGTGATCGGCTCGGCGTCGGCCCGGCAGCTTACACCAAGCGTTGGCTAACAGGCAACGAACATCTGGTGGTGGAACTGGAACAGTAAAGGTAAACTCTATGCTGTCCGCGTTGTTTTAGCTGTTAAAGAGAGTGTTCCGCATCGCTATGTGGTTTTGGACTGAAATAGCCATATTGAAGATCATTTGGCACAGGTCACAGCCCCGCCCTTCTTAAGACCCAACTCTTCTAGTTTCTGAGCTAAACGCTTACGAAGATGGACAGAATTTTTCGAGAAGACTTCTTCCAGGTCACCAAGGCATCCATGACGGCATGATAGTGTCTTTAGATTCCTGTCGTTTTATAAGCCATGTGGCCATCAAGGCCATGAAAAACATGATTTCCTAATTGTTCATATCTAGCGTTCGTGAGCACGCTTCCCAGATATAATGGCCGTCAATCGACTCTCAATCAATATTGTACAAGGTATGATGACATAATCAAAAAATGACGTGTTGTGGAGCATATTTACTAAACTGAGAAATTGTGCCGTCAAGAGCAGGCTTTTCACTTAAAAGTCAAGAAATAGTTCTAAGTGTGCTTATTTCATCATATCTGATGCTTGCTTCAACATCTTCAAATGTGGAACATTCCCCTCATTCCGTCCAGACGAAAACTTCAAAACTGAAAAGACAGATACAGGCACCAGCATGACCTTTAGCGGTACAGACTTATTTCGAAAGCCTCACGAAAACACTATTTCACGACGATCGATCTCGCGCACATGGCGCTGGCCACCTGGTGCTACTTGCAGTGGCCTTATTTGCAGAGATAAAATAAGCCAAATCAGTTTCTTGGAAGTCACATTCAGTAAGCCATTTGTCAGCCCTGTGTGCCACCTTTCCCCCACCCCAACAACGCTTAGGTAGCGATGTTCAGTAGTTTTCCTCTGTAGAATGAAGGGATATTTATGTTTGGTTTGGGGGAGTCAATTTGGCAGCACCAAGTGGGCTTCAAAGCACGGCCGCAAATTCAAATGTGAAGTGGGATGGGTTAGCACACAGTGGGTGTGGTTGAGCAGATTTTTCGGGTGTTCAAGCATTGAATGTGCATATCCCGTCTCAGGATCGTAGCTTGTGGCATACAATCGCCAGGAAGACATTGGAGGAATAGAAACCAACGGGAAACAGTATTTGTGGTGTATGCCGCAGATGCGCCATTCACCGATTTTAGTGTCTCAGCCGTGCATTAACCTGGTTTGAGGATTCGTTGCATGCCGTAATGGACGCAGATTCATCATTGACCACAACTTTTTCTGTTGTTGATACTGAAACAGTCATGCGAAATATGCGGCATCAGGATGAATCTCAGTTCTATACCTTGGTGAAAATGCATCTTTCATTCTTGTTGAATTTCTCCATTGATGAGGTAGATGCTCCAGCATTAGCTGATGATAAAAACAACGAAAGTGCTAGAAAGCTGCTGCCATTCAGCACCAAGAGCAAAGGCAAGTCAACAAAAGGCACCAGCTCAGAAAGTGTGGTGCTTTCTCATGAAGGTGTTTGTCAGGCATACCAGTTGATTGAATTTCTCAGTAGAGAAGAGAACTTGGTACATGAAGGCCTGTTCCGAAAAACTGGAAACCTTGTGCGACAGCAAGAGTTGAAGCAATATCTTTTGTCTGGATCATCAGTAGACTTTGAGTCTGGTCTTTACTCAGCTCATGATTGTGCCAGTGTTTTGAAGGGGTTTGTGGCAAGTCTCTCAGAACCCCTTCTAACCAAGGCCCTGTACCCAGCTCATTGTCAGGTGGCAGACATATGTCCCATGGACACACCTCCTGAACAGTTGTGTGCAGCTCACAACAAGCAGATCAAAGCACTGCAGTTGCTGTTCTTGCTGGTGCCAGCTGAAAACTACCAGCTCCTCAAGGATTTATTGCACCTGCTGTTCAAGGTTTCCAGACGTCACAAGGAAAACAAAATGACTGCCCTGAACCTGGGTACCATGTTTGCCCCCCACATCCTCTGCCCGAGGAAGATGCCCGCCACCGAGCTTCAAACTGCTTCAGGCTCAATGGCTCAGGCCGTTGCACTGATGATCGAGAATACTCCACTACTCTTCAAGATTCCCCAGGAGCTGGAAATTGACATGCGTGCCTATCTGGAGCAGCAGGGAGGCACGCCAGGTCTGCAGCGGCGCCGCCGCCACAGCTGCTCCGACGCCGACTCGCCGCAGGCTACCACCGTCTTCAGCTTCGTGGACCGGGAACAGTCGGCGGCAGCGGGCGAGCACGACAACACGGACACGGCGCTGGCCGGCCTATACGCGCACATCAGCAGCATGCCGGACTCGACGCGCCGCCGCAAGCTCATCAAGCAGTTCAACCGCGAGAGCGGCCCCGGCACGCCGACAGTCGTGCAGCGCACGCGCACGCGCAGCTTCGGCGAGTCCCTGCGCAAGCACCTCTTCTTCGCGGCCGGCCGGCAGCGCAAGCCGCCGACGAAGGGCGCGGCGCTGGGCCCGCGCCGCAGCAGCTCGGAGGAGGCGCTCGCCAGCCCGCCGTCGCCGGAGCGCGCGCGCTTCAAGCAGAGCACCGAGGAGGTGTCCATGTGGCCAACGCCGTCGCTGGCGGGGCCGTCGCTGAAGCGCTCGCTGCTGACGCCGACGGCGGCGGCGCGCTTCACGCCGCGGCTAGCGCGCAGCCTGCGGCAAGTGCAGCGCGAGGGGGTGGCGCGCGGCGCCGAGGGCGTGCCGCCGCCGCTGCCCGGCTCGGCGCGCCGCTCCTCCCGCACCGCCGAGATGTCCACCTTCCGCGCCGGCAGGAACAACTCGATGCGGCGTGGACAGGTGAGCGACGAGTCGGTGATGTGGCGCGGAGTTGGCAGGGAACGTATAGACAGTTTGAGAGGGTTGAGAGGGAGGTGGAGTGTGCTTGGTCGGAGCAGTCCGATGAGACGGATTATGTATTGCCACTGAAAATGGTTCTAACCGAGTTTGCACGATTTGTGTGTATCTTACTTTGCATCATCATATCTTTATTCAAAAATAGTATTTTGTGTGGTAACTTATCTGGTTGGCTGAGCCCCTCATTATGCACGTTACAACTGATGAGGGGTATATGACAGGCTTCTTAAAAAGGCCTTGTTTCATCATGTGGATGCATTTTATATTCTTACGCACCTTACCCTGTACTCACTAGTAATGCTTCGCTTGAGTGGCGTGTATCTCCCATTGTCGCCTCTCCTCGATGAGCAGACGCTGTCGTGCCGCAGGTACCGCTGCGTCCAGTGCGCGGGGACGGGCCGGCCGCGCCCACCTCGCCCATCAGCCAGAAGATGGGCACCATGTGCTCCAGCACGCGCGTGCAGATGCTGACGCCGCGCAACCGGCGCGCCGTCTGTCTGCTGTCGCAGACGTCTCTGTCGGCGGCGGCCGACACCAGCGCCGGCCCAGCGGCGGCGGCGGCGGCGGCGGCGGCGGCGGCGGCGACAGGGGCGCCGCTGACGCCGGCCGCCGTGACGCCGCTCTCGCCGATGGAGCTGCAGCCGCTGGAGGACAGCCCGAGCGGCCCGAAGCGGCCGCGCCGCCAGCCGGCCGCGCTCAGCTCGCCCTTCTGCCGCTACCTGCTGCAGAGGGATATGCTCACCGCCGAGCCGGTGGACCTCTCGCTGGTGGACGTCACACCGCCGTCGCCATCAGGTGAGGGGTGGCAGGCTGCTGCGCCGGTGTGGCTCGGCGTGCTGGCCATGTTTGTGGCTGTGTGAATGCTGGGTGGGAGCTAGTTGGTGGGTGGACTTGTTCTCTTGTGGGTTGACTGTCACTGCTGGAAATGGTCTTGTTCTGGTGGACGTCGACCAGCAGATGGCTTTAATTCTGGGCATGCCTCTCCTGCCTAACACACCACGTCTGTGGAACGCCGGCACTATGTTTGGCTACCACAGCCGGTTTTGTTGCCTCCTTACATGCGGCACGTGCCATCCGTACATCATCTCCCATTCGGTATCTATCTGTTGGCGCCGCCTGGACCGTTATTCTTCTCGACTCCTTGAATTTAGCCGCATCGTATGCCCTCCATGCAATTCTCATCCCCAAAGGTGGGATCCGTGGCCAGAAAGGAACATCTAACCTTAATTGACAGCTTATGGATATGTAATCTTTCTGAGCGAGTGGTTCCAATGGGCCAGATTCGCACACCTTATGGAGGGTTGAAACATATGGATCTAACTTTATTTTTGGCTGGACTTTTGTGCGCAGTTGAGCTTATAAGTTCCGCATTCTGACAGTTGCCTAATGGAAGCGTGCTCTCCGTGTTTGCAGCTGGCGCAGTCAGCGCCACGGCCGCCCGCTTGCTGTCTGGGGACTCCCCGCTCAGCGACTCCCTGAGAGAGTGTCTGGACGGCACCGACCCGTCCCAGGTCGAGCTGACCCCGGCCGACCTCGCCGACCCGGCCGCCTCCGGTGAGTGCTGGGAGGCTGGAGACATGTGGTGGGTGCGTGACGGCAGCCGATTCTTTATGTGCATGGTGGGGCTGTGATTCCACTCAGAAATCTGGAAGTGAGAAACCTATAGAACTTTGCTTCAAATTGCTTTGAGACGTGCCTTTTGAATCATAACTGTTAGCAGAAAGGAATTATAACGTTTTGTGTTCAATGACACGGGCTTCTGCTGTCTTAAGCGTACGAATGTGCAAGCTGTTTAGATCCTGCTGCAAATAGCTTTACATGAGCCATCACATAATCTGCCCATGTTTTACCCCTGCGACAGACGCAGCCGAGCCGGCCACCATGGTGACTGTCCGAGCGGCAGACGTGGCGGCGGTGGCACCAGCTCCAGGGGGCCTCGGTGCGGGCCCTGCAACGGCCGACCCACCGCCTACCGCCAGATCCCCTGGCCAGGGAGACCCTACGGCCGACGACTCGGGCCCCGTCGCCAGGGAGCACACAGGTGAGCCGCGGCCCGGCGCCTGCCGCCTGATCCCCGGGCCAGGGAGACCCTGCGGCCGACGACTCGGGCCCCGTCGCCGGGGAGCACACAGGTGAGCCGCGGCCCGGCGCCTGCCGCCCGATCCCCGGGCCTGTGAGCCCCTGCGGCCGACGACTCGGGGCCCCGTTGCCGGGGAGCACACAGGTGAGCCGCGGCCCGGCGCCTACCGTGGACGCTCGGACGTCTGTGGTAGCAGCAGCGGACCTTCTGAGGCTGTTCGTGAGACGGTTTTCTGCGCGCGTTGCGGCTTTGTGATTGATACCACCTATGTAGTGTGTTTGTCTCGTCTCAGTAAATTCGTGACGAGGGCTGTGGTATTTTGTGATTGCTTTCTGAATGGCATTGTCTGAAATTCGCCAGTTACGCGGATGCTGCCCCGTTTTAGCAAAGTGCATGTATGGTGCTATTTTTGCCTTCCTTGTATCTCTTTTAGGACTGAAAAACAATATATTATTTCGTATTACCTAGGGTGCAACACAATGTTCCTAAGCTAACCCTTGGTGCAACCTCCACAGACAACATCACTACCACATCACCACTCCCCTGACAACACCCTGCCACCGACAGCACCCCTCCACTGACGGCACCCCTCCACTGACGGCACCCCTCTACTGACAGCGTCCCTCTCCCGACGCTTCCCTCCACTGACAGCATCCCTTTCCTGGGAGCACCCCTCCCAGGACAGCACCCCACCCTGGACAGCACCCCACCCTGGACAGCACCCATCTGAGGACAGCACCCATCTCAGGACAGCACCCATCCCAGGACAGCACCATCTCCTGGCAGCACCCCTGCCCCCTGAAAACACCTGTCTCAGGACAACACCCCTCCCAACAACAATCCTTTTGACAGCACCCCTCTTCTGAAACGCCTGACCGCTGAAAACACTTTTCCGAACAGTACTGTTCTAGTAGCACCACTTTCCTGGTAGCCCTCCCCCTAATGGTGCTCACTCCTGGAAGCACCCGTCCCTTGACAGTGTGCCTTCCCCTGAAAACACTTTTTACCGACAAAACTGCTCTCGACAGCACCCCTCCCCGACGGCACCTTTCTACTAACACCCCTCTCCTGATAGCACCCTCTCTCCTGACAGCACCCCTCCTGACAGCACACCTCCTGACAGCGTCCCCTCCTGACAGCACCATCTCCTGACAGGACCCCTCTCCTCTCCTGATCGAACCCCTCTCCTCTCCTGACGGAACCTCCTCTCCTGGTATCATCCCATCTCCTGACAGCATCCCTCTCCTGACAGCGCTCCTCTATTGACAGAATCCCTCTTCTGACAGAACCCCCTCTCCTGACAGCACCCCTGTCCTGACAGCACCCTGTCTCCTGACAGGACCCCTTCTACTGACAGCCCCCCCCCCCTCCCCTTACAGCGCCCGCTCTCCTTACAGCATCCCTCTCCTCACAGCATCCCTCGTGACAGCATCCCTTTCCTGACAGCACCCCTCTCCCGATAGCACCCCTCTCCTGGCAGTACCCCTTTCCTGACAGCACCCCTCTCCTGACAATTCCCTTGTCGGCAGACGGCCCGACGGTGGATATCACGGCCCCAGAGACAAATGACGAGGGCTACCGGTCGCTGACGTCGACCAGCAGCGGCGCCTCGCTGCCGGCGGCCGCCAGCCCCCCGCGGTCGGCGCTGGCCGACGTCAGCAACCAGTCAGCCGGCGGCGACACGTCCCAGCTCAGCCGCATCGGTCAGTACGGCCGCCGGTGGGCGTGCGCGTGTCTCCACTGCGATACCGAACGGACGCTGTCTCACGCTCGAGTCCGGACCATCACTCTCCCGCTCGCTCTTTCAGCTTCAGTCTGGATGTCTCAGCTTCGATATTGCTATTGCAGGTTCGATGAGGAGATCACAACCTGTATATCTCCTTTATGTATAGTTGATGCCTCAATCTTGATCCATCAGTTTCGGACCACTTCTTCAGTCGTGCTCACGCTTTCTCAATGCTACCGTCGCTGTCGTGGTTTCGTATGTATGTTTGGGTGCACCCGCTCAGTTGTGGTCCTGATGTTTGTGTGCTCAGGTCGTTTGCTAACCTACTGAAGCCCTCTTTTCTTTCACGTTCATGACACGTGACGCCGACCTCTGCTGTGCCATGCAGGACTACACGCCCTGTCCGAGGAGTGGACGGACGCCAGCGGCGCGCTGCCGACAGAGCCACCTGTCGACGGCGAGGAGAACCAGCGCCGCAAGACGCTGACCGACAGGGATACCAACCCGATGGCGCACCGCAAGATCGGCGCCTCGCGCAAGCGACGCAGCGTGCTGTTCGAGACCGCCCTGTGAATGGTGGGGCCGTCTGCTATCCGCAGAGACGCCCCGAGGGGGGGGGACTCTGGAGCGCCGACCCAGGCCGACCTGTGGACGGTGGCGGACGGTGGACGGTGGACGCCTGTGACTCGCAGGGACGCCCGGGGGGGGGGGGGGGGGGGTATGGAGCACAGACACGCGCCGGGAGTGTGGCCTGTAGACACAGCCGCGAAGGTCATCCGAGGAAGAGCCGGCCGGATCTGAAGGCTGACGGGCACCGGGAGGTGGACTGGGCCGCTGGCGGCGGTGCTGTGAGACGCGAGGAGGGTGATCTCGGAAACTAGTGTTGCGTAGTCTGTTCGGAGGATGAGATCTCCCACCGACCGCGTAGATGGGGTGAACACGCGGTGCGCGTGTGCTTGACACTCTGTTTTCCAGTGAGGCAGTCTATGCGTGGGGGTGTTGAATGTACATACGCTTACAGTGAGCACCTGGGATCAGAAGGGCTAGGGCGTTATGCTGGCGCTGGGGGCCAGGCTGTGCCCTGGCAGTCAGGCGTTGGCGGGGAAACGTTGGGTGGTTGTCATGGTCCAGTTGGCGAATGTTTAGATGGTTAAGGAGGGATGCTTCGAGGAGACTGAGCTGGGGACGAACAATACGTATGGCCGGCGCGAAGCGACGAGTCCGTAATACGCATCGGCCGTGATGTACGCGTTGATAATCAGGTAGGATAGATGCCAAGAGGCAGTTGTCTTCTAGGCCCTGTCGTCTCAGCGATTTTCAAAGCCTCTCGTGTGTAAGAACGCCCCGCTCTGTTGACTCCGTTGCTGTAGGTTTTGTGTTATCACTTGGGATTTCAGCGTAATAATCTGTGGGAATTCGTAGCCGGCGCGTCGCCTGGGTGGATATTAGCGTGTGAAGACAGCCTTCCGAGATTTGCCGCTGAGGCTTGTGTGCATTTTATGGCGGGACTCAATAAATATAGCCGGGGGAATTCGATCACTGGACGTGATTCGTAACGGCGGCAATGTTTGAATCCCGTTTAAACTCAAGAACGCCACGACTGGAACGTTCGGCATCGATGTCGCACTGAAGCTGACAGATGCAAAGACGGTGCCTCCGTTCTGCAGAGTACGATCCCGTTGATTGCTCGCGGCGAACGATAGGGCAGGTGATTATGCTGACTGCAGCCATGGAAGTCGGCTCCAAGTGTGCAGTTTTTTGTGTCGTGTCGCAAAACCATGGCGAGTTATATGCCTGCCTATCGCTATATGCAGATGGCTCGCCTTGGTACATACTGATACTACGGTGTCTGCGCCCAAATGACAGCATGAAGCCCATCTAGCATGGCCCTTTTTCGGTAGACTTCGGGCTCCGCACAGTGCTCGTTACCTTAACTGTCTCCGCCGAGTTCTGTTTTGCGCTCGTCGCCCGTTAGTATGACGGAAAAGTCGCACACTTTGTACCCGTGCTGTCCCATCCCAATGCTCGGGCATAACAGCATAGTACCGAGCATAAACCGGTTGCAGGCACCGACACCGGAGTCGTTAATCAAGTGCTTGCGTCCTCGAAAACCAGTCACCACGTACCGTTCGGTGATACCGTACTGTTTGTAGAGCGTAACGGCGCTGGCTGTGCCTGGATAGTTACGTATGTGCTGAATTGCGCGGCATGCCACGCAGTTCGGTTTTCTCACACGTGAGCGGGCTGATGTCTCGATATCGGGGGGGGGAGGGGCGAGAAAAGGTTCGCTTCAAGCGGAAATACTTGCTCCAGTGTGCTACATTGCAGCAGTCCGTGTCGAGCTTTAACGGTGAAGTGTTGATCACTTTGATCGCGTCGCGAGCCATCTGCAGTGGTATGTACCAGCACGCTACCTGCTTCATATTTCAGTCAAGGCAATCTGCGCTAAATCTGGCCTCACTGACGTCATCTGAGCCGATGCACGCATCGCTATCAGACAACCCACCCGTCACGCCATCCTCCGACGGACGGCACCCTGCCTGTCGGGGCGTCTCTGGGGCTGGCTGGCCGGCGAGACCGGCTGACACGCGTCTGCAGCCCCGCTCGTCGGACGCCAGGGGTGGACGGCCCTCCGCGACGACAGGCCGCAGTGCCAACGCTCGGACGGGCGGCGAGTGCTGATGACGCGTGACACGGCACTACTTCTGGCGTGAGAGGGGCGCGGCGTCGCATGTCAGCAGCCGTGTCGTCGCGTGTCAGGAGCAGGAAGTGAGAGCGTGTCACCAAGAAGCGCGCGTGCCATCAGCCGGGCGCGCCCCACACCTCGCCGTTACATCACCGGCACAAATCGCACCATGTCAACACACCGCACGCTCGCGGCCTCGGCGTCTTCGCCAAACGGCGGCGCTGCGCTGAGGGCCGGCGACTGCGCGGTGCCTCTACGCTGAAGGCCGGCGCGCCGCGGCCAGCTGGCGGCTGAGGCCCGACGTCACCGACGCCGACCGCGCGTCGATGCGGGCACGCAGACGCGGAGCGCGGCGCCGTCGCGACCGACGACCGACGCGGCGGCCGTCAGCGGGACGGACGCGGCGGTGTGTGGGCGTGCAGGGTGCAGCGGCGAGAGCGCCAGCGGCCGCGATGTGCGACGTTAGCGGCTGCTCCAGCGAGGTGGGTAGCGTGAGTGACGACGGCCGAGACGCCATGCTGGACATCCTGGGCGAGTTCCAGCGGCTGTACCAGACGCGGATGGAGCGGCTGGAGCGGGACCCGGCGGCGCCCTCCTACAGCAAGGTCAGTTCCTTCCCGCCGCCCTCCCGGCGACCGGGAAGGTCTGGTGACACGAGCCGGCCTGGTTACGCCGTTGACGTCATGGTGGGCGGGCCGCAGGACAAACATTGCGAGTGCCTCAGCTTCTCGTTCGGGATAGCGCTCCCTTTGTTCGGGCTAGCCGCGGATTGAGGCTCAATGAGGATAGAAAAGCTGTTAAAGGCCGGGCAGGTCCATGGCTATTGTAAACCTGTCCTAACTTGGGGTGATCTTGTGACCGGGGAGGACAACACGCTCTGTTTTGACAACACTGTTCGACATCGCCGATGAGCCAGCAGTGGGAAATCTCTTTGTTATCGCTACGAGGCGAAGGCGGTGAATTTAGAGCTCCAACACTCTGGCTTGTGGTGTGGGTGGGTGTGTCTATCTTGGATGGTGCCGAGCGAGCGCTATCGCGTTTCCTGTGGCACCAGTCACCATCACAGATGCGTGAGTCAGGTGCCAAGAACAGCGCTTGCTTGAAGTTGACTCTCTGGTCAGATAAGATTACCCACTGGAGCTGATCTCTTCAGTATGTGATTCGGCCTGAACGGAAGCCCATCAGGTCTAACGCGATCTTTTCCTTCTGTCGCGCTGCTGCCATTCTGTGCGCTTGGTAGCTGGTTGAAGTCGGGACCCGAGCTGTAAACAAAGGCTTTCATAACAAACGGCTAGATCAAGCGCATGGAACGCGCACTGTTTGCGAACGATGCACATTTTTAGCCGTGAATTGCCACTGAACCTCTCAGTAACGCTGAGCAAGAGCTCTGGCAAGAGACCAACCGATTCAGCGTTAGGCAGGCGCTGCCACACACGAAGCCAGCCCCTCGCTCGTGATGCTGCCGTGCCTTTCGCCCGCGCTGGGGTCGTAGTCATTTAGAGCACCGGACGATGCCGTTAATCCGCCGCGAGGTCGTGCGGTCCACACCACGCCGCTCGGGGGCGTAGCAGTGCCGGCTGCAGCAGCGGAGCGGGCCGCGCGCACCCGGCCGCGCCTCCTGGATGGGGGGGGGGGGGGAGGGAGTGGATGCCAGGGACGCCACCAGCGGCTCCACGTCGCCGGCTGCGACATGCCGTGCCGCCGGGAAGGGGCTGATAGGCTGCTTGGTTGGTTGGTTGGGGAAAGACTGCTTGAATGACTGTGCGGTGGGGATAGGGAGGAGTGTGACGAGGATGTAAACAGAGCGTAAAGCGGGAGCTCACACCATTTGCTTTTGGTGGGACTGCTCAGGATTTTTTAGAAATGGCACGCTCTTGACATGAAAGGTGTTTTTGGTGGTGGGTTCAAATGAAGAGCTGAAAGTCGTGACCCACACGGATACGAATTCGTTGTGACCGATGATGGTCACCTCGAACCCGGTCATGAGAACAAGTGCTTTTATACTGACGATCACATAAACCATCCCAAAATCATCAGCAATGCATCAAGTTCAATGACTTCGGGCCCGTGTGAAGGCAACACATGCAAAACATTGAGACCGCTTGCCTGTGCTGCCCCGTCTGGTCTCTTGCGACCCGCTCGGGCAAGGCGATTGCAAAATACATATCCAAGGCCGCCACCCACCATTGCAACACAGATGGCGTTAGCGCGTCACGCGCTGTGCGATTGAACACGGGTGGGACACACGCTCGCTCAGGAGCCGCACTCCCCCGCGCGTATTAACCGACCCCGGGGGAGGCTTCCAGTGACCGGCTCATGGGGAGCACCAGACAGGGACTTCGCTGGCGCTGGTGTACCGACCACCTCGAGTGGTTCTGCTCGAGCGCTCCCCACCAGTACCACACATCTGTGTCTTATCTTATGTTGGCTATGGTTATCGACCCACCAGCCGATCCTCTGTCCGTTACCCTCGCGGATACCTCGCCGAGCGGCGGAGTAGGGTAAGCAGCGCCCCCACAGCCAGGCCAAACCGTCACCACCATGTGCAGCGGGTCCTGCAGGCTTTGCAGCGAGATGCCAGCGTATGCGTGCAGCAGCAAGCGCCGCGTGGTCATCTGTCAACAGAGAAGCCGCCGAAGTGACCTAAACTCCGTGGCGCGGACCGGTCTCGTGGCGCGTGACCTCGCACCACGCTGTGTCGGACGTGTGCTCGTCTCTCCGCCGGCGCCGGGCGACTGCTGTGTACACTCGGCTGTGTCGTCTCTGTGGAGCGCGTCCACCTCCGCGCTGCGCCGGGCGGCTGTGTCCTTTCTCAGCGCTGCGCCGGGCGACTGTGTCGGCTGTGTGGAGCGCCGCCCACCTCAGCGTTGCGCCGGGCGGCTGTATC